GCGTTTGTATTCACATTTCAATGCCGGATCGTGCAACACCAGTTCATGCGGCCCAATGAGTTTCTTGGCGACTTCACTGACCGAGAGTTTTTCTGAAGCAGGCAAGATCAAGGTGGTGGGACCCTCGAATGTCAAACGCATCATATCCGCAATAGCAGCTCTGGTCGTGAGGATGGCTCCTGATTTTCTCGAACTTGCTTGCAATTTGTGCGTTTGTGTCAACAAGCCCCCTTTGTCGTCTGCGATCGGATGTTGTTCGGGCAAAATGAGGTCCTCCCATTTGGTAGAGAGGGGTTTCTTGCCCTTTCGAGTCCACGGATCGGCTTCGAGCCATGGGTCCGGCTTGCCTGTGCTATTTGGCGCACTCGAAGTAGTGACAGTGGCCTTTGGCGATGCAGGAGCTTGTGGCATTGCAGTATCACTAGGGCCCCCGGCACAGGAGTAGGACTCAGGGATCCTCCCTTCCAAGACACGTAAGAGGAACAAAGTGCGAATGTCATAAGCAAGGTCAGAAGTAGATTCTGGAACACCTGCATTCAACCACGCATGAGTTCCGTTTCGCTGGATCTCTTGGACAAGCTCATGGTGCCGAGAAGCAGCGAAGATATGTGATGCTGCAAATGAGGAGTCTGGCAAGGCACACTGATGACGCACGAAGAGGCTTTCAAGCAAGGACCACCCACACATGTGTTGGGCAGTGTTGAATGGGATGAAGATTTGTTGGATGCTCGCATACTCAATGGAGTGAAGACGTGCAACATGGCCTGCAATGTCCGGGATATGCCGCTGCAATGAATGTGGCGCAGACACGAACAAAGAAACAGGAAGTGCAGGATCACGCACCAACTCAACCAAAACCCACGTGGTGCCAATGATGATCGGCCAAACGACATGCTGGTGGAACCATGTGTCGGGTTGCCGGCCGTCAAAGAACCGAAAGCAGTCCTCATCAGAAATCCACTCGGATGGTGGGGCAAAGTAGGTATGCACATACCATGGCCTGAAGCAGTCAAGTGCAGCATCACATTCATCGGAATGAAGCCAGGCAGGTCTTTCCCGAAGGTGGAAAAGCCGCCGCAGGATGGCAAGGTCAGGAATGATATCGTGATGCACCAAGGCTGCCTGCGTTCTCAGAGGAGCAGGGACATCACTGTCAGTAAAGGACACAAACAGGCGCTCGGCAGTAACAGGTTGTGTGGGTTCAAAACGCGTTGCAAGGTGTGCCATGAAGCTTCGGCGGAGTTTTGCTGCAAAAGTCCACTCAGCAACCGGGATTGACGCATTGTGCCAATCATCGATGGCTGCGACCAAAACCTCATCAATCAAATGTCGCTTGACAAGTGGAGTTTGTGCATAGCTGTCGTTTGGGATGGGTACATCCTCTTGCAAATTTGCCTGTGCAAACCATCTGTGAAGCAGTTGCCAACCACAGAAATGCTCACGGACTGGGAGATTGACTTGATGCACAATGAGATGAGCCGGGTTGAAGTCCATCACCCTGGCAATCGCAAGGACCACGTTCTGCACAAGTGGGCCCGGAAATCCGACGATTTGCACCGTTGTGCGTGCACCAGCTTTGAGGTACAGCGGCCCAGTGTGGTCCACACAAGATTGGGAGGATCGTCAGCCTGTGATTTGGAATGATGATTTCCTGAAAACTGGAGTCATCGAAGTCCAACAGGTTCAAGTCCCACCGGACAATGGGTCCAAAGAAAGCGAAAGCTGGATTTGACCACTGAATATTTTCGATCAGGAACTGCATTTCATCAGTGGCCAGCCATCCTGACGTGTTTATGGCAAATTCACAACGTGAGCCAAAGTCAGCGCCGGCAGGGAGAGCGACAGGCTGGGCACTGTGGTGCCCTCCAGCATGGATGGTAGCGGAGCCAACGAAGGAAAATTCCACAAAATCTCCATGGACGGGTTGGAGACCGGTACCACTCTCTTCACGCCCATTGATCTTCTGGAGCCGAAACAACCGGTCATCAACCGTGAACAAAGACGACGGCTGTGCTGGATTCAAGATCTTGACAAAGGTAACAGGTTCAATGCCTAGCTTGGCAACAAGGATGATCTCACTCGGGTTCCTGGCTCGGTCCTGGTCTCGGACAATGACACACTCAGTCTGATCGATCATAACTCGTCGTCTCTTGAGGCCAGGAATTGTGTGACTAAGCTCATGAAGTCCAACTGGCATCGTGAACCCTGTCGGTGGGTTCTGAAGGACGTGGAATCCTGGGAGAGTTGGCTTGTTCCGAGACATGCAGACCTCAGCACAAGTGACTGCACGCAAGAAAGCTGGCGAATGAACAATTCCATCGGAAGATCCCACCTGGCATGTGGCACAACCATCAGCCTGAGGAACATACGGGACAGTAGGCGAAATGTCCACCGACGAGTCCACAACTTCAATGGTGTCCTGCTTAGCGTCTTTCGGATCCGAGAGAGATTGATGCGTCAACGAACGGCCGAAAGTCAAGGTGGCCAGCAGTCGATTTGACAGGTACAAGTACCATTGCGACGAAAGGCCAATCACATGCACAAGGCCGTGTGTGTTGTGGACGCGTTCGTCCGTGTGCCACAGAAAAAGGTGCGATGTGATGTCGTATTTCCACTTGAAGAGGCTAAACAGGCGCTCAACCGTCCACTGAAGAGGGACAAGCAGGTCATGTGATGCAGCCGTAACCGCATGAAGGATGCGGAGCTCAACCACAGCAAGTCCATCGCCAAGGGTAGGCAACTGGAGCACAACTTCTGTGACGGCTTGTGGGGCACTGCACAGCACGTGAAACCGAGAGTCAGACACGATGAACCCGGTGTAGGAAGTGATGCGCTGAAGCCATACTTTCAACACGGCATCCTGAACATCGATCGGTCGGCCCAGCAGGGAGGCAACACCCGAAACAAGGGTCATGACCGAATGCGGCACCGCTACAGCATTTCCGATTTGTTTGAAAGCCAAGGAAAGCTTCGCCGACACCACCACAGGCTCAACAACACCGAAAAGTGCCATGTAGCGAAAAGGATCAAAGAATGCATGGCTTCCGTTTGTGCACTCAAGTGACGCAAAGATTCCTCTTTCACGCAAGTGGGAAGCACTGAGCAAATGTTGCGAGCTGTATGATGCACACAGAGTCGGTAAGGGTTGTCCCAAAGGCGGGACCCGCAAATTGAGCACTTGGTCTACGGTGGCATCAACTGGAGTCGAACTCCTCTTGGCTTCTGGGAGCAAGGATCGATCACCATAGATGGAGCGTTCCGATGGCGACAAGGTCAACTGTTCACGCACTGATCTGGGCAGTGAAAAACAGTAGATTTGGTCATGCCACTCGTCAAAGAAACTTGGGGTCGGAATGACCGGCGGGACAATAGATTGCACGAAAAGGTCACCTCGAATCCACACTCCAAGCCACCGGGTGCGTGCCGTGTGGGTAATGGCATGTAGCGGGCAAACTTCATTCCACAGGCACCTAAAACCTAAGGCTTCTAACAATGCTTTGATGACCCAGAAATGCGGGCTGGCAGAGATTTCCGCCGCACATTCAAAGGCGATCATGTTTGGCTGTGCAACACCGCACGTCATGATAGCATGCAGGAAATCCTGGCCGAACACCGATGCAAGTCCCTGTTTCTTGCCGCCTCGTGACCATGAAACACAAGGGGGGCTTGCAGTGTAAATCGTATTTCCTCCAAAGCCGGCCAGGTGTAGAAATGAAATGTCTTTCACATCGCCATGTATGAACCGGTGTGAAGAAAAATCAAACGTGGACCTCGGCATCAAAGGAGTGGCTGAATATGGGATTCCATGCTTCTCCACCCAGGCCTGGGCAACCTCAAGCTCAGCATCAAGATGGACTTGGGAGCCAATCAAGAAATCTCCAAACACTCGCGGGAGCCGATTGAAGGCTTGCGTCCACCCATCAAAAGCCCCGGAAAATAATGCACTGCGTTCCAATGTGCCTCGTGGTTGAAGGAAGGAAATGGAATAGCAACCGTCTGCCTATCACCAATCCAAGTTTGACCCTCCAAGCTTCGCATCTTGCCGCAACAGATGATCCTATCTCCATCACCAAACGGTAGTGCTCGTTGGTGAATATCTGGAATGCGAATTGTCCCCTTTTGGCCAACCTTGAAGTTGAAACCTGAACCATACTGAAAATGAGCAAAATGAACTTCGAGCACATCGATCTCCACTTTGGAACACTCGCCTGCAAGGATGGTGAGGTCATCCCACATCAGAACTGGTCCGTTGCAAATTCCCTCGAACAAACCCACACACTTCTTTTCCCATGGGGATCCAAGTGAGTGCAACACATCACGGAGTTCACTGTCCATGGCTCAAACCAACAGGAACACAGGGTCGAAGATCCTAAGTCACAAGGTGTCGAGCGTGGGTCGCTCAACTCTGTGGACACCTGACACTGACCGCGGGGTCAGCTGCCAGGTCCCGGGGACCTGCCTCCCGTAAGGCTAAGAGCTTTGAGCCCAGAAGCCTGGTTCCATCTGTTGGGTTTGAGTGGGGTTATATAAGGGTTTCCGGAAAAGGCCAATGTTTTGGGTGGTGGGTCGTCCCAAACAAAGAGTCGGGGATCTTTATATCTTTCGACTATGCAACATGTCCGCCTTTGATTTTTTTGATGAAGAGGCTGACCTGTTGCACAGCTGGGAAAATCATGGAAGATCCAGGTATTGAAGAAATCCTGCTAAACCTTGGAGAGCCTTCCACTCGTCTCTTCAAGAATTGTAAGCGCGCCCTTTTCAAGAGCTCAGATACCATTCTGCGATCTCAGATCACTAGCACAGCCCCCGAAAGGTCTTGGCAGGACAAGCCACATTCGTCCTTGATGCGAATGTGGCTCCGAAGCGAAAGCGGAGGCGGCCCACCCATCGCGGACCCTCACCCATCGCATCGCGCCAGCCGAACGGACCTGCCGAACCCGCCGAACCCGCCCCGTCCGAACCCGAACCCGTCCGGACGTCGCTCGACCCGTCCGAAGGTCTCCCGCGTGGGATCGTAGGATTCGCCCGCCAAGGCCAGGTCCTGGGGCCAGGTATTCGCGCGACCCTGGGACCGGGACCTCGGTGTCCCTGGGAGGGGTGGAGCATTTGGAGACCCAAACACTTTGAAGAAGAGGCCGCTCCGCCGGACTCCTGACCCATTGATTGAGAGCGCGGGTGTTGGCAGGGATGTATCGTTTGCCTTTCAGATGCTTTAAGCACATGATAGTTCGGAGTGGTTGATTATGCTGTATGTCATGGGAATGTCCAAATCACTTGGAACCAAAAAAGAATTTAAACAAAAAACAACAATAATCAACGCGGATTCAAAAGGACGTTTAAAGGAAATCAATAGGATATAGGGATGCAAAATGTCAAGGAGTCTTTAGGGGGGCTGACTTTGCAAGAATGTCAGAAAACCAAGCAAACAAGAACAAAGAACAATATTCCAGAAGTTTCTTGGGGAGGTTGACAGCAAAGAGCCTCATTTTTTTAAACAATTACATGTTGTTTGTTTCTTTGTTGCTTGTTTGTGTGAGTTGTTGTTGTTGTTGCTGCTGTTGTTGTTGTTGTTGTTACTATATCTATATATATATACTTATTGTGATTACTTTGTGAAGTGATATTTTTTTTTGGATTGCTCTTGTTTGATGGGGAGGCAAAGGCACATGATGCCAAATTTGCATTTTCCGGTGCATTTTGCATGTGTTTGAAGTGGACAGCAAATGCAAGCGATGAAACATATGCATTTTGCTGGGGAGTTGGCACATGGACGCGCAGCATATACTGCAACTTGCAATGTTTTATGCATAATACCACAGGACATTTACATCCCAAGGAGCACCCCTTCTGTTGAATGGAATGGAATCATGCGGTTACAACCCGAACTCACGCCCTGTCTCGAGACCTGTAAGTGGGGTAGGGTAGCCTATTGGACACCCATTGGATGATCCTGGTATGGTTTGTTTTGCTATACTATATACCCGAACACTCCATGTATGCCATATATATGCTGATCAGGCCAGGGGTGGTGCCAGCGTCCGAACTGACCCGTAACAGTCGGTCAACCAGAACATCGCTCTTTTAGAGATGTGGGCCTGCAACCTAGCCATCATCCACTGGTCCACTGGGCCTGGATGTTGGATTAGATGTTGGATTCTGGGCCACATCGAAGAGGACCAGCCAAAGTCTAAGATGATGGCCACCATGATGTTGGATTCCACTAGGCCCAATGGATTAGATGTTGGATTCATAAACCGCCACATGAACAGAGTCCACTGAGTCAATAATCCACTGAGTCCATATGGATTCATCATCCACTGAGTCAACCGCCACATGCACGTCCGGAGGCCACGGCCACACCCAAAGAGGACGCAACGGCGCCTCGGAGGACTTGCCACCGAAGACGTACAGGCAACCTGTTCCGCGGGTGACGCGCCGCGGGCGGCTCCGGACTCCGGGCGGGTCCGGACTCCGGGGAGCGGTGCCCAGTCCGGTGTTAAGTGAACGGTTGATGAAACGACTATGATGTGGAACATGCTGGCTGCTTCAAAGAGCTCAAACACTCCATGACACTGGCATATATATATATATATATATAATGTTTATTATAACCTGACTAAGGATCTATTCCACGGAATACATGGAGGGTCTGGAGATCCCGTAAAAACTTTCGTTCCGCCACGCACGAAACAAAACAGAACCATTGCGCAGCACGGGAGCACGCTGCTCAAGCCATGTGCCCCCAGCCCTGGGCGAGTCATGTCTGAAACGGAACACTCACGACTCACCCCAAGCACTTTGGGAAGGCAGCATTGTTTGGGGTGCTTGGGGTGCGGTGCTCTGGGGTGCTTTGGTTGTGTTGAGATCCTGGTCCCCCCGAGTGAGACCACCAGGAACTCGTGTCGGTGGGCATCGTGTCGGTGGGTGTCCTACTTGCGCCTCTGCTCCAACAAGATGAGAATCCAAACCCACGACGGTTCGTCAACCATTCAACGATTTGTGGCAATTTCCGTGTAGTACGAAGATCTTAAAACCCATTAGGTTTCTTCAACCATTCATATACTGTCATCTATTGGATGTCCCTGAGCCACAGTGGATGATGCTACTGATGGCTGCAGGAACTCCTTTCGTCCAATCCGGGGAGCCTAGCGTCCTTTCGTTCGGTCGATGGTTTTAAGCTGCAAGCTTTGGAACCACATGCTTACGAGATATATATAGCAGTATAGTATAGACATCCAAAATCGTGGACATAAGTAGATAATCGTAGGCATCTTTGGTCATCTTTGGTCTATGCTCATATCTGGTATCTATACCCTATAGGATTCAAAGAACCATTGCTTTAAACATAGTCTTTACCAAAGAACCATTGTTTTACTACGGATTTTTACACAACACCATCAGCTCAACCGTTTTTAAAACTAGTCTTTGACTCGCAGGGTATATGTAGAGCCCCCTGTGTTCCAAGAATGTCGGGTGCACTCGATCCACCTCCCGTGACCGCGCCTCCCGTGACCGCCGCAGCGCCCCCCACGCGCGGGGTGTTCATCGCCACCGTCTCCGACCAAAAGCCAGTGGCTGGGTCAAAGCATTCGACCTGGGGAAAGGTGGTTGGAACCCAAACTCCATGGGATTAGAGAACCATGCTGTGAAAACAGTGGGGAAAGGCGGGTGGAACCCTCTAAGACTCCATCAAATTAGAGATGAACCATGCTGTGAAAACAGGGTCAATGTACCTGAACCATCCTGGGCGTCCAATGGTTTTGTGCGTTGGACACCCAGGTCTGGGATGCTGGAGTCCTGGTCGGTGAATCGAGCCCGGTCCGAGGGTCGAGCCTCGGTTCAGCCACGAGTTCGAGCCCTGTCTGGGTGCAAGTGGAAGGGAAGTTGCTTCGCATGGCGAAGGGCGAAACCAACGGTGGCATGGGGTGCGTGTGGTGTTTTTGGGGTTCTTCCGTCATCGAAGTCAGGGGAAACAGCTTGGCTGCCAAATGCCAGGCTCCAAAGACCTACGTGCACTCCCAGGAATTATCACGGTTACGTGGATGGGGGCCCCGAATGGATGACCATGTTACCAAGCCGGTGCTGAACTCCACTTCCATGATGATTGCGGGGTGTGTAGAAGAGTGAAAATCCCCCAGATCCCCAAATCATATCCGAAGAGTCTTTGATCACCAAGCTCGGAGCGGGATCCCCAACAACAAAACGAGCATGACTCCTGTGCGAGAAATCAGAAAAACGATCAAGGATCGATGTTCAATAAGAAAGCATCCGAGTTCAGTTCAACCCCAAAGGGCTAAGACTATCAACCCCCAAATACATACCCAACACATTATCTAAATGAGAGGGGTCTTGCAGGGAACTTACCAAGGACTTCTTTAAAGATACTGAACTCCTGCCTGTATGCCGCCTGGCCCATCCGAAACCCAAGCAACCTCGCCCACACCTGCCAGCTCACCTTCACGAGCTTTCAGGCGCCCCAACAGGCCCGTCAGGCCCAGTCCCCTTCGAGCGGCGCTAGACAAGCCAACCGCTCCGTTGAAGCCGCCAGCGGCATAGATCACCTCCATGAGGACGCCTGAACAACGGCGGAAGGAACGGCGACCTCCGCGTTTAAAAAGAAGAACGGGAGGCAAGTTGGGAGCGCGGATTGGGGCGCATGGAGGTCAACCTGGCAGGGATTATGTAGGGCTCCGGGTTTTGACCCACAGCCAAATCATGCCAAATCAAACCCCCCCAGTCGCGCAAACGTCCACAGCGTGATGATCAGAAAGCCTTCCCAGTGTTTGGAGACCTTTCACAAAATCCAGCTGATGAGGGGCGGGTTGGATTCCGCCCATGTTTTCTCTTAAGCCCTTGAAACCAAAAAAATAAGCAGCAAGCGCAAGCACAGCACCTGCTGCGAAGGCGGAGCGCGGCGAGAGCATTGGTTGGAGCTTCTCCCAACGACCTGCGGAAAGGTGTGGTCAGCCTCAAAGGCTCCCAAATCAAGCGTAAGGGAAGTGAGGAGGTGGTGATCTTGGATTTATCTGAAGGAACCAGGAGAAAAAGAAGGAAAGGGACTATGTACACCTGATCAGCAAAACCCTGACTTCTCATCCGATCAATTCCACAGATGTTGCAATCCATGTCTGGAACCAAAGATGTGTTCATCTACAGTCTACATTAGATCTCGAGTGCTCATAATAGCTCCATGATCTCCCATATAGCTTTCTTGAATGATGGGCTCCTGCGTACCAGTCACGACCTTCTCCAGTCACTTCACCGCTTCCAAGGCGCCAAAAGTGGGGTGAAAGCGTTCACAAACGCCCTGCACACGGCCGTTGCTACCTGAGACATCCGCGATCTTCAAGGGACCAGTACCCGCGACCGGGCGCCTTGCGGTTCATGCCAGTCGTTCGGTGTTTTGGGCACCATGGCCAAGGTCCAAGGTCGTGCCCTCCTAGTCCATGTATACACCAGCCTCTGGCCATCCAGTCCCTGAACTTCTTGAAAATGCAAAGGAACCAAGAGAGGTTAAGTGACCTTATAAGACCCTACTGGAGTACCTATAGGATAGTCTATAGGGTCCTTCAACCTCTGTTGGAACCTCCAAGACAACGCCCAGGACATGCGTGAAAAACAGGCTCCCCAAGAAGCAGGGATGTGGTTTTGAGGAACATCTGTCTGATGTCTTCGGGGTTGGATCCACTTCTGATGTCTCCAGGGTTGGATTCTTCTTCTTTTCGATGCCTTCTGGGAGCCCATGTTCAACTATGATCCACTTCAATGGACCACTTGGTAGGGTCATGAGTCATGCAGCTTGGCTCTGTTCCCTGCTTCGGCCCGGCCCGGTGGGTCGGAACAGAACCGGGGTAGGACATGGGACTGCTGACGTGCAGGAAATGGCCGAAAGATGTGTCCTATCATAAGGTTGCAGGTGGGAATCCAAATCCCAACCGAATCAAGTGGAGCGGTGTGAGAATCCATGCCAACCATGTAGCTGGGAGCACATTTGAGAAAGAATCCTCATAGAACTGGGGAAGTCCAAACAACATGGGCACAAGCAAATGTTGTTCTTCTGGTCCAGGATCTGGATGGTTGAAGCCGAGCCCATTTTGTTCTTCTATACGAATGCGTTCTCAGAATCCGTCTTCTTAGTCTTCTTGCCCAACAGGTCCAGTGCTTTGAAGGACACCTCAAAGAATTCCTGCTAAGAAAAGCAATGCATGTCCATGCGAGATTAACCACACTCCGAGTGAAATGGCCCCCATGTGTTCTTCAAAACATACCTTCCATAACCTACCCGCCGTTGCTTGGTGTCGTCGTAAATGATGTGCTGGGACAAGAGTGCTAGGACAAACATCGCCCCAAAACCTGCCGGCAAACCTGCTGGGCAGAGTGCGCACTCTCCCTGGAACTAATTAATGAGGTTAAGTGGAAAACCACCTGTTTGTAGAGGAACATGGTCTTCCAAGGGGCCATGCCATCCACTTTCATGTTGATTTCAAAGGGAGAGTAAACTTCTGACCGCAATGTGCATTATAGGATCCACTTCTTTGAACAGCGTTCGCGGAAACAAGAGCGTCAGAGCGAGGTGCATTTCCCACCCAAGACATAGATCCCGCCCTTCACCGACACGCTGGAGCAGCCACTCCGCGCGGTGGGCACCCTGTGGTGGAAGCATCGGAGAAAAAAAGGGTTTGTTCCTGGGGTCACCACGGCGCGAGGGAGTGGAACCGGGTCTTGTTGGATTTGGTGGTATGTGATGCCTCAATTCGATGAAGCACCGCCTACTTCATCTACTTCTATCAGGGGGATCAGGATCAAAAGCACGGGAAAGAATCACATGAAACTTCACATGAACAATTTCATCAACATCCAAAGCTTAAAACATCAACGTTGACATGCAAAGCTAGCTGTATCGTCGATGCTGAAACAGCTGAGCAGTGGTAGGGCATCACAAAATCGATTTGATCAATGAATGGGTTTAAGGAAGCTTAAGGAAAATCTGCAAGAAACCATGGTTTTCACCCCAAAACTATGGGTTTCCAGCAGATTGTCCCTTGAACGAATTCATTGATTTGAGCCAAAACACGGCAAACTATGCAAGAACCTCTCTCTCCGCATCGTCGACATGCGGCGCAGCCCTTTACCCAGGACACTCGGATGGAATTCGAAATTCCGCCGATTTCATAAAAGTCCCAGACATGGATTGTACAATGATAATAGTTAACATCTATATACCTCTTCAACAATAGAGGATTCATGAATTCAGAGTGTTACTATGACTCCACCCGATTGCTTCCCCTCTTCTCCTCCGACGTCTGGACGTTCCCCCCCTCTTCTCCTTCACCCGAACCTCCGGCCTCGGCAGCACTTCCCAGCGGCCGATGTGGGGGTCGTAGCGCTCGAAGACGCTCAGCACCGTTTCGCCCAAGCGTCCTGATGCCGACGCCGAGAACCGCCACCGGTGCGGTCCGCGATGACGGAGTTCCTGAGATCCGGAGCAAGAGAGGTAGCCAGTGACCTGAAGTACCAACAGAGGTTGAAAGACCTGAGGTCAAACACTGTAGTGGTACGCATGGGATGGGCTATAAGGCTGTTCAACCTCTCTTGGTAGGACCCCTTAGGGTTACCAGACCTGGGATAGCCGAACAGTCGGACTTCTGACCCTCTGGGATGCGCCCCAGCTGGGACAATGGTGGCTCCAGCAGGCCAAGAGGCCTTTAACAGGTCAATAGCCCAAACGCCCCACAGGTGCGGACCTGGAGTCTACGAGGTCGGCCGGTGAGAGAGGTCGGCCCAGACTGGGGACCTGACTATAGGAACACGTCCACCCCGGGGGCACCAGACTGGGATGGGTTCTTATGGGTTCTTCATGGTTCTTCAACCTCTGAGTTGGGCTGCTTGGGGACCTTTATAACAGGCTTCTGGGGCACTAAACTGGTCACCAGCGCCTAAACTTAAACAAAATCCAGGCATAGATCTACAATGATGCACATAAGGGGAAGGAGTTCCGGAAAACCACGAGTTTGAACAACCCTACCGGCTCACTGGCACCATCTGCCTATAGGTTCTCTACTACACACACCACATTCCTGCGCCATCATCTTGCAGCTGAACCCCCCTGGGTGCATGGAAAAAAAGGGAGACCGACACCCACGCTGCGACTGCGTGGGCGCGCGGTTCTTCACATAGACCAACCCAACCGCCCAAGACGGTTCACCATGAACATTTTGTCCGCCCTCTCCTCATCTCACACCCCTCTCCTCCAGAAACATAAATCAAACCATCCGCAGTGGTGGCCGCGCAGCCCGCGCGCGAGGTGGGCATCCGTGGAAGCACCTGCCGTTGATAGAGCGAAAAAAGCACCCAAGAGATCGCCATCCCAATACAGCAACGATTCATATGCAAAACAGAAAAAATCATGTAAAGTTCATGTAAAATCATATAAGACAGCATAGGGGAATATACAACAGGAAAATGGTGTACTTCAAACAGTATGAAGGGCTTTGGCTGTAAACGAGCACGATGAGTTAATCGAAGGCACAGTTGGGGAGACGGTTAGTTTGTGAGTACCACAGCATTAAACACAACAAAACGCTGGTAGGAACTAACTAAGAATGCACAAAAGACTTGGGGACAACCTCTGAGACCAGCCTACAGCCTCTACTTAATACTCCTATTCAACCAACATAGCTTCCCTCCTTCCCTTGCCTCTTCAGGCACCTCGAAGATGGGTTTTCGAAAAGGGTGATGCGTTGCATCGAGAAGAAGGGAGGCTAAATTGATGAGTTAGCACTCTATGGCATACTGTTTCATACTTTTTCTCTGGATATGGCCTTCCTGTTTGGATCTCGAATTACAAACTGAAACAAAGTCTCCCTCATGCTGTGAGTCTGACACTGCAAAATTGCCAAAAAGTGAGGCACGTAGTGTGTGGCATCAGGCCAATACCCTTTCGGGCACTCTTCAATGCCCTTGTACGTCTTGGGTTCCATTGCAGTCTCATAAGGGCATTTCGGCTCGACCATTTATTTCTCATATGTCCGTTTTCCTGAATCTCTTAAAAATTGGGTCTATCCTAATACCTTGTTTACTGACTCATGTTACAGGTCATAGGACAATCCCAAGTCTTAACGATGTATTATGCTGCTTCCATGCATCAAACGTATCCTCTCAATGTACGCCGAACGCCGATGCTCTCACGCTCCATGCTGTCAAGTCCCCATTTGTACCGATCTCTTTTCGCTCCAAACGCGCCCAGGCCCAAAAAGTTCAACAAAAGAACAAAACCTCTTCAACAGAAAAACCATCGCTTGAGAATCTGGATGTCATGACCTAAATCACTCAGTTCTTAGCCATTTCATAATTCACCATTGAGTACACGCCATGTCTTAATCCGGTAGCACTGTCGCATGGTCGCACGTTTCTGCGATCTATTGGGTTGTTTGTCATAGCTACCTTCCAGTACCCCGCGATGTTCGATCGGGCTGTTGAGGGGCGAACGCTGGATCGATCGCGAGTTGGTGTGGGAGGCAAAATTGGTATAGTGGATTGAGAGTAGATGGCACAAACCCCCACAGCCATGGATTTGCAGTAGTGGTTCTTTCCGAACAACCATTTCTTTACGAAGGATTCAAAGCAACAAAGCCAGGTCAGCCGAACTCTTGAAATGGTCTTTGAAGGCTAGGCAAATTTGATTCACAGTTTTGTTGAATGTGTGTGTCCCTGAAATTCATGCCCTGCCCAGGGCTCTCTCTCTCTCTCTCTCTCGCTCGCTCGCTCCCTTCCTCTATACCTTGAATATGTGTATATATATATATGTGCACACATATATTATGATATCACATATACAGATATATTATGTATATATATATATATATGTATTAAGTATATATATATATACTTTATATACACACTGAACTCAATGAGCCATTATACAACCATACCGACCATACCTGTAGTCCAACAACTTGAACGTCTGACGGTCGAACGTCGCTCTGACGGTCGAACGTCGGACACGTCGCCTCCCAGGTGCCATGCATGGGGTCGAAGCGTTCAGCGCTATCCAGCTGCATGTAGTCCTCCACAGACCAAGCATCTGTACATGAAATCATGAAACACTGGTGATCATGGATGGATGGACAGTGATTCTATCTTACATGAACAATACTACCTACTACCAATCTATTCATGTTAAATTGTTAAACACATGAATCTTGGGTTTATCCTACTACCTGTAACAGTGGATCATGATGTCATTTTTGCAAGCCTTGCTCCAAAATAAGTGATGTTCTTGTTTACGGGTCCTGTTACAGGTAAGTTCGGACAAACCCCACATAAACCTTCATAAACCTTCCATGAACAAAACGGTGCACCAGGTGGTTGGGACGGTGGAGCTGGGAGGGACGGATCGACCTCCTACATGAATCCTGATGAAGTGTCCTTTCAAGTTGCTAAGGATCTCATGGATAGCCAGGTCTACCATTGACCCCGGCCCGTGCGAACTGGACCGGCCCGGACTATCCATGGATCGACCTCCAGTGACCGTTTCGGGGTGTGTCGACGGAAGCCTCGAATTGTTGGCCCCGACCCGCCCGGAACGCAAGCGTTGCCCAGACTTTGAAAGGTGAATCCGCTCTATGTTTCATGTGTTCGACCTTGGTTCTAGCTATTTGGGGACGCCCCCCCCAAAAAAGAAAGCAAACACACCAAGGTGGGATATCGCTATCGCCTCACTCAGCCAGTCAGCATCACTCAGCCTGGCCACCTCGTCCCCGAGCCTCGCCTGGCCATCTGTGGGCCAAAAGTATCGGATCATGCCATCAAGGTTGTTCACCTTGGCGCAGCGCCATGCTCCCAGAAATTTGAGGAACAAACATGAAAAACATGACCAGATAGATAGATAGATAGATAGATCGATAGATCGATAGATCGATAGATAGATAGATAGATAAATAGATAGATCGAGAGATGGATGGATGGATGGATGGATGGATGCTCTGACTTTGGGGCCTAACAGTCTGAGAACATGTAAGTTTTTTGTTCTTACTGTATTCTTCTTCTGCGCACTTCGTGGGTTCCTCTCCCTTGGAGGCTTTCGGTGAGATCAAACCGAACATGTCATCTAGGATAAACACATTCTCCGTTGTTTAAAGCCCCAAGAAAGAGTTGCTTCCAGCAAACCCCGTCTGGCATGCAGAGCAGTATATGTATAGTAATTAATGACCATAAGGTATAGCCGCATAGCCGCACCGTATAGCCCTTGTCATCAATCTCAAGGCCTGACACGACACCACTCGCTGCAACTGGGTCACCGAGTTAGGGATGCCTGGAATGAGGTTCACAGCCTCACCCCCGAAGACGTAAAGAGAACCTGAGAGACGAGCCACCGCCGCGCTGCCGCCGCTCGGATGTATTCGGGGGAGGTCGATGAAGCCAATGGTGCGGGTGGCTAAATGAACAGAAAACCCACTTCCGCTTCATGCCTTCACCTGGACCTTTGGATCATGCAGGTGTCCAATAGAGATACATAATGATACATATATAGGTAGCCTAAAGTAGTCCCTTGGACACCCATTGGATGAGTTAATAAATCGATTGTGTGATTGTGTTGCATCCGCATGCCTGTTCCAACACTCCCACTGTTTTGGGAGGCCAATGGCTACAGAATCCCCAACATAACCAAACTAGTATAGTATAGTATAGTATAGCAGTTTAGCATTAGTTATTAGTATTAGTATTGGTATTAGTATATAATAGTATGATGAGATACTTGATGAGATATGAGTGACGAACGGACCAATCGATGAGTCGATGAGCCACTGTTCTTGGGTGGTGTCGCCTATCGACATCAGCTGAAATCAGCTGGTTTCAGAGGTTTTGTGGTGAAAAGAGTTCGGAGGGCGAAACACCAGCGGAGTTCGTTCGGCTTCGGAGGCCTCATGTCCCAGATTCACTCCTCCGAACTCCGGTGTTTCGCCCTCTTCCATCCGCACCATCCCCCCCGACCCACGCGCACGGTCCCAAGCGTCCGTTGCAGGCGGTCGCCGCACACAGGCGCCGCGGCGAGGGCATGGCCTGGACGTTCTGCCACTCCTGGTGCTGAGGGTCCAGTCATACCTTCTGAGGAGGTACTTGGAGCCCTAGGGCCCTAGGGGGTATAATGCATGCGGTCAACAAATGTGAACGCGCTTGTCGGTGGTTCGGCGCAACAACGCGTTTCGCGGAGAGGGTTCCAACGGGCGAATTTGGGGGTTGGAAGTCCCAAAGAACCAGGGGCCACCATCAAACCATCAAACACCTGGGTTTTCCCTAGCACAAATACATGGTTTATATGTGAAAACCTTTCTCTTTGCATGGTTTGCTTCGTGCCGCAAACAACCATCGTTACATTTTCGGGATGTTCGAGGAAGAGTTGAGCGCGACACCCGGGGATTGAGACGACCAAGAGTTTTAGACGACCAAGAGAGGTGAGGGAAAAACCATTCTCCTGGCCTGGGTCTTCATACCAAGCAGGTTGCAGGAACACCCACCGGGTGTGGCCTGGGGGGGGTTCAGCTAAGGCTAAGCCTTACATACTCCGAACTTCGAGGGATATGAGCGGAGGACCCTTGTCCACCATGTTTCACTTCTCACCAAGCAATAGGGTTGTATAGGGACCCTGCGTTCTTCGACCACTCGAGGCGGTATGTGCTCTATGTATACATATATCTATATATTATTATATATCCCAGGGAGTCAAAGACTATTAAAAGAATGGTCTGACTAGGGGACGTGAAAGGGAACTTCCTTTACTTGAGCCGGTCAAACAATAGTCTTTGGACTTCTAGGGGTGTTATTACAAATCCAGGAATGCACCCATGTAGTAAACAAGCCCTTGATGAGTCCTGTTTCTGGGATTTTTGGGTGGCATCCCTCCCACCCTCGCTCGCATGATGACGTTTGCTCGGGACATCCTCTCCATTGGCATCCAGGCGCTTCACGCTGCTCAAAACACCTGCCCCCCACAATGCTTGGTGCAAAAAGCGGCGTACTAGATCCCCTAGTTATCCAGGGATTCCCAGAATCCAAAAAGGAAGGACGGTTTGAGGTTCGGTTTGGTTTTCATCAAAAAAAAACTCCTCCATGTCCTTCACATGGAGTCCAAACTGATGGGTCCAATTGGCCGGACACAAGTTGGTCAACTGGTCGATTTCGCTGGGTCGGAATGAGAAATTACCAACAAAGGTTGAAGGACCTATATAGCCTATCCCATAGGTACCCCAGTAAGGTCCTAGTTCAGGTCACTGAACCTCTGTTGGTAAGGACACACATGGCACGTTCGATGCCTTTCGAGGCACTCCGTCATCGCTTCGTCGCTTC